GAATTACGTAATAGCAGTCAACATAATTGTTAATTTCACAAGAATCCTATTCACATTTCATATCAGTTGGGTTTAAGTTAATAACAAGGTTAAAGTTAAGGTTTAAAACTTGGTTTGGTTAAAAACAATTCTGAAAAGAAGACTAATTTCTAATTTATTTTTTGAAGAAATTCTAGAATATTTAGAAATGAAATTTGGGAAAAGTATTCAATATTTTAATTTCAACGAATTCTATAGCTACATATCTAAGCATAAATGAAAAATCGTTTTCTTCTTTTTTTTAAGTAACCTGTTTTAAGTAACCTGTAATGCATTTTTTTTATTGATAAAAATAATTATTGTAAAATCGCCTGCATGAAAATTTTACGGTTTTTGAGATTTAATATTCGGAATAATGTTTTCATAAATCCTTTTACCCCTTTATTTGATCTTTTTTCTCAGTATAATGTTAACACCCACCCGGACTTAATCTCCTATTTCACCGTTAAGTACTCCTACTTCGACTCCTGATGTTTATTAACCAAGCAGGAGAATAAATCCGCCCGATATTATTTCGGCTGATCGCAGCTGCGGTCCATTTAAAGTTCAACTCGACACGCAGCGTGCGGTATTGTATGCATGGGCATCTGCGAGTAAAAAGTGTGTTGTCATTTCTCTACCCGTGGTCGCTATCACCTGGTCTGTCTTTCAGAGCACCCCGTCGATCCAACAATACCGTACGCGTGCCGCTGGTTCCGTGCGACAATGAACACACCAGGTACTATGTGTATCGTATTTCAGGGTCGAGTAAATTATTGCAATAAAAAAAAAAAAAAACATGGAATGAAAACTTTGACAGTCACTCTGCTCTAAATTCATTAATTTTTTTTCCATTTGAAAGTTTAATAATGTATAGAAGTAATTAGATAAGGTTTGATATATTTAGAAAATTTAATTAAAAATATATGCATTTTAAAGCAAAGAAAAAAAATCCAAAGAACATATTTTGTGTATTCGTGTAACTGGCAGGAGCTATATCACTAATGTATGTATGTATTTCTGCTTTTTGCAGAAAAATTAAAAAAACTGCTGATCTTAATAAGCAAAAACTAACGTAATTTATTTTCATGTTAACTGTTTTTTTTTTCTTCGAAGTAGAAAAAAACTTTTAAATTTAATTTATAAAGAAAAAAAAAATAAAGTGAAGAGAATAATTTTTTTTATTACAATTCAAATCACAATGAATTGCAAAATGTATTAATAAATAAGAAGAATAATTACGTTGGTAGAAGGTGACTTTTGTATTATTCCTTATTTAGTGCTTTAAAATTTGAGTTTCTAAATTACACTTATTTTTTC